TCCTCAGCCTCCTCAACATGATGTCTGCTCCCAGCTGTCCTCTCCCTTCCTCTGCACCCTCACCTCCATGTCAACCACAGCTGCCTCAGTTCAGGCCATTCCTCATGCGTCATGCTCCTCCCACCAAAGGCCTTTCCACTCCATGCTGTATTCTCTGTGTCAACACAAGTCTCTTCTTTTTTGTTCTTTCTCCAAATCTCAGTTTATCTACCACCATCTCTAGGGAGATACTCTTTCAACAGTTTTCCTAGGCTGCACCTCCTTATTGTAAATGCTCACAGCTTATGATATGCATTAATATTCTTAGATTTAGCACCATAGTCATTTTCCCTGACTTTGTGTGGCAATTTAATTGACACTTCTCTTGCATTCTAGACTGTAAAATGCATCATTTTACAAATTGTGGATGTTTTGTTCCCCATTTTATTATCAGTACCAACAACGGTTCCAGGTGCCACTGACCAGTCTTGAAAGAATAAAGAACAGATATTGAAAGGCCCTCTGAGTTCCCACATAGATGTCTGGAAACATTAAATGGGAACCTTTATCCCTTCATCTCCTAGGATCAAATGAGTCCTGGAAACATGAGAAATCCCTGTCATGGATGAGTCACTGGATCCCAAGCCTTTCTACATGACTGAATTTCCTATCTGCCCATCGCCCTCCTCCCTAGTCTCCTTCTTCAATCTCCTTCCCTCACAGGTGTCCTGGAATTGGGAGTCTCACAGACACAGGGCACCTAATCACTCTGAGAGAGTGATTAGAAACATAATGTCAAACACTGGTATTAAAAGGTGATGGAGAAGAAAACAATTGACTTCCCCATTCTCTTAGGGAGAGTTTTCTTAAGGCACAAATATCTCTTTGGGTGACTTTGAGGCCATGGTGCCTGATACACTGAGCCATATTATGGGTGTCCATTTCCATGAATTGGTGGGCAATGCCAGAGACACAGAGCTCATGGTCACCAGCTTCCTCCAGCCCACACCTGGTTTTGGTGCAGGGCGCTTAGCAGAGACCTTTGCTTGTTCCCCTCCTTTGCCAGTCAGAAAAGGCTGGTTGTGAGACAGAGGCTCCATTTACAGAGCGGGGCTATGTGTTAGTCCCTGAAGAATTGTGAGAGCCATTCTGGGTGGAAATAATCCAATATGCAATCACTAAGGATGGCTCACAGATAGACTGAAGCCCCAATTTTGCCAGAATGATTTACATTAATGCTTTAAAGACGAATGCAGTTTTAACTCTTTAGGCAATAAAGACCAAAAATAGACTAGCTATTTTTAATAATTGAATCTTAAACAGACCAAAGTCAGAAAATCTTCCCTAAGGAAAGCATTTTCTTCCACCCACTCACTAAAGCTGCATTTGAGAAAGCTGTGTGCTGTTGATAAATGCTGGAATATCATTACAATCGACATCGTAATAATACTGCTACTTGGATCAGAAACAAAGAGCATTTCTAAAGCTTGAACAATGTGTAACTGGAAACAAGCTCTCACTGAGTTTGGAAATGCAGGCACTAGAGGGTGCTCATTTCTCTTTCTTTTCCAATCAGGGGGCTATTCGAACCTATTCTAGAACAAGGAGTGAGATCCCCCATTTCCCCGTGGTGATCAGGCTTTCAGAGGTAGAAGCCTTATTAGTTCATAATCAGCACAAACTGACCTCACCATCAAATGTATCGACCTCGATGCTCACCCTCCTCAGCAATCAGAGACTGGCTGTGTTCACCAGGAGCTCGTGTGTTTTTACAGAGCACACTTTATCCTCAGTTTATTACAAAAAATAAATGGGCTTTTATAGGAGGTTCCATAGACAGAAGCTTTCTGTACTTTGTCCATTTAGACACTACAAATTCTGACACCTGATGAAACGTGTAAACTTAAAGCTTGCATGTGGTTAAGATTTTTTAATAACCAAATTAAATAATATATATGTAACGAAAATGTCAATAATGCTTTCGAACCCAATCCCACCTTCCATTGGTAATGAATATTAACACTCTGGTTTGCTTCCTTTCACCCCTCTTTTCTGTGTTCATGCATAACTTTCTACTCAAGTACACCTACAGAAAATGGGTTCACCTGTACACTTTACCTGCCACGTGCATACTCTTCTGTTAATATACCTTGGTCTTTATTGTTCCAGATTGGTTGATATAGATCTAACTTGCTCTATTAGCTGCTTCACTTTGCATAATGAGGGTAGACAGGTACACTCGCGCTCTGTTGCCTGATTCCTAAATTCTGCCACATCTTTTCTAAAGTGACCGAATGGTATCTTTACGCTTCCAGGTTCTCCTCACCCCAGCACTCAGCTGATGATTCCAGCTTTTCCATCACTCATAGTCCCAGCAGGGCCAGTGTGAGAGCTCCATTGGTTTCTCCTGCATGAGGAGACAGGAAGGGATAAAAGGATAGACTTTTATCAAACCTACAAGATGCTACACAGTATCTCAGTTCATGTGTGTAAAGCATTGAGAGGAATGTCTTGTTTTATAGATGATTCTAGATGAGGATAGAGTCCAGGAACGTTAACAAATAGCCTTGCCCATGGTCTCAGAGCTAATAAATGGTGGAGCCAGATGGAGGGCAGTTGTCTTGCTTCCATGTGGAATTGATAGATGTGTCACTGGAGTCTGAGGGAGGGGAAGTCTAGAACCATCTGGGGTTGTCTTTAGATCAGACACCAGGGTTAAGAGACTCTGTGTACCCTACAGCACTGCAGGTACATGCATCATGGTGTTGGCAGTGGGGAGGTACTAGAGTGGGTAAGCGATTAGTGGCCTGGAACCAGAAGATCTGAGCTTTGATAAAACTATTCCCATCACAAGATGTAGCAGAGACTCTGATGTAGATAAACTAGGCCAGGGAGCTCTGTGAGGAGCTGTTGTTAAAATGAGGGAGGGAGGAGAACCAACTAAGTGGTCACTTCCTATATGTGAAATGTAGAGGAAAACAATATTAACTAGAATCCCATCTGATTTTAGTCAGTTTTGCTTTGTAAGTAGTTAGAAGGTGGGATAATTTATTTTCAAGGTTAAGTAAACATCAGCACATCACCTTTACCTTATGAAGACTGTTGGCGAAACAAAAAATGGCACGGCCAATGGAGTCAGTTTGTTTAATAAATATCTCAGAGTTCAAAGAGAGACTTTTATGGAGCAGAAATTGGTAAATGTTCCTGCATTCTAAAAGTAGGAGGATCTTACTTTCTTTGAATAAGCAGAGAAGGAAGCACAGGCAGTGGGGAGGGTCAGTTGGGAACATGGCAGAGTGGCCGCAGGATGTCCAAGACAAAGGACATGTAATATCAAATTCTAAGCTGTGAAGCTGTGATGCTACTCTCCTTCTCCTAATGGATTTTTTAGGTCTCAGCACAGATGCACACCTGAGGGAGTAATTTCTTTGGAAATTAAGGACAAATTGCTGTGTTAGTAACAAGTTCACCTTACAAAACACACCTGGAAATGGAAATAAGATTATTTCTAAGGCCTTTTCTACTCTAAGAGTCTCTGACTTGGTGGTAAGCTGAGAGGTGAGGATAGGGGGTTGTTGATCCACATGTGATGAGTACCATGAGGTTCTACCATGAAGCATATAGTTCTGAGAGTGAATCAGAGCCCTAGGAAGAATAACGCCCTTGAGGTTGTTTTGCTCTGTGCCATCCCAAACCACCCCACCCATAATTGAGCAACCATGGAAATGAGGGTAGCCAGAAGGAATCAATTCCTGCAGCTTGGTTCAGTAGACAGAGGGACCTGGGGGAAGGGTGTTGGCTGGGTCTAGGAGAAGATGATGAGCTCAGAAAATAGACAAGGAGAACCCCCAGGGAAAACTTGTGAAACCCTGAAGGAATCAC